TATGTAGTTAATTGAAATGGATCAATAAGAGTTGCCTTTGGTGGACCTCTAGGGAGATTGGTTTAGAACTGATAGGACTATCCAGTATAAAGTCCCACATTTGGTTGTAACTGTCTTTGTTGTTCTTTCAGGGTCAAATATGTTTGGATATTTTCAAAGACAATTGGAGCCCAGCTTTGACAATTTCAAAAGTTTTACTTTCAATATGTTCCTTATTGACTGACTGTAATCCAGGTACGTATCACTGATCTCATAATATGTTTGTTTGTGCACTCACTGATCTCATAAGATATTGGACTGATGTGTGCACTTGCTGATGTCATAAGATAATGGACTGCTGTGTATCTGCCCACTGATCTAATATTTATTATTGATCCCTATAAGAAGCTGGACCATTATTTTTATGTTTACACTCAGTGTATATATCTTTTAAAGAAATACTAGCCCACTATGGCCATTCACTTATCTTTAAAAAACTAAATGTTTTTTTTTATTTACAAATAAAACTGAAATTTAAAATTATTTTTTTTAGATGATCCATTGGTGGGCAGTGTTGCAACACAATATCAAAATAACAGAGCCGAACACGACCGAATAGCAAAAGAATGGACTCAACGATATGCAACATAAATAGTAGCCCTCAGTAACACTCTGTGAACTATTGACATTTCTACAAGCTAGTAGCATTACATTAATGTTAAGAGAGTTAAGTTTAAAAACAAGCACAAAAACATGATTTTGTCTTGTGTTGTTTGAAGAAAATATTGAAATTAGTTTAGTATTTAAAACTAGAAAATCCTATATATCTAAATCATATTTAGTTACTTACAGGGGGGATGGGACACATCACAGTGTAAATACATTTATTTGTTAATAATAGTTTTGTTCATTATAACATACATGTACTTATTTTTTCTGTACAAAAAGTATGATTTTGCTTTCATCATGAAATTCATTCATTGAATTCCGAGCATTGTCGAATGGCTATATGTTTCTAGATTTATATGGCCTTAATATATCAAAATGTACCACCAACAGTTGATGAAAAAATTATATACAATATACATTGTGACAAAGATGACTTTCACATACACCTTGACCAAACCTCACTGTATATACATGTTGGGAATATTTCTATTTTTGTTACTCTCGTCGTAGATTTTCCAACCTAGAAAGAAAAAAACATTTTAAAGCAAAAAGCATGATTTGTAAGATCACACTTTTATGCACAAATGTTAGCCAGGGTCCTATTACTGTCGTTCCAATTGAAGTGTTGCTCAAATATTGATTCAATACATTACCTCGTGCTGACCAATTCATTTCATCAAGTTCCTCGAGATATTCATACACTTCCTAGTATAATTGTAAACTTCCTGTTGAATAGTTTGAATGCACCAATCACTTTTGTTGTTTGCACAACTAACCAATCATAAATAGAAAGGAAGTGACCAGAAATGATCAAATACTTGGAATTAGCTCTTTCACAGGAAGTGTATGAATATCTCGAGGAACTTGATCAAATGAATTGGTCAGCCAGAGGTAATGTATTGAATCAATATTTGAGCAACACTTCAATTGGAACGACAGTAAAAAGAGGGTGTCCAATTTTGGTACAATGATACATCTACAGTAAGGGTCGAAGTTTACGTTACTTCATGTCAGTATCTGTTCCAAGCTCATTCGACATTTTCAAACACACTTGGCTTTGTGAGTTTGTGCCGCTATGCTTCTTTACTTAACTACGACATTTTGATTCAGCCAGGTGCACCATCAAACTGATCAGAATGTCAAATGTATAATAATAATGAGAATTGAAGCTATTTCGTTTCAGATATATTAATATACTTAGGAAAATAATTTCCCTTTCCCCCCAGAATTTGTGCGTCCATTTTTTGTTCTAGGGGCGTCCCAGGACGCCCTTCCTTCTGGCTAAAAGTCTGATTGCATGTATGTATATTTTTGCATAGCTGGATCTAGAATTTCAATTGTATCTACAATAGAGGATGTGTGGTTCTTTTTTAGCAACCAAAAGTTGGCATCTGTACATGCACAAAAGAACCGGTAGTTTGGAGATGATTTTGTTTCATTTCAACTACTTATAAGTTTAATAGTTTTGTTTGTGGAAACACCACGTAAATTTATTACTGCAATTTATTAATTATTATTTATTTATTAATTTATTATTAATTTATTAAATTTATTAATTTATTACTTATTAATTTATTATTTATTACTTTATTATTTATTACGTAAATTTATTACTTATTATTTATTAATTTATTATTTATTTATTAATTTATTATATTTATTTATTACTTATTAATTTATTACCAAACCATAATTTATTACGCGGTGTTTCCACAAACAAAACTATTATATTTTATCACCATGCAAACATACAAAGAACTTATTACTTATAAGTTTGTTTATTTTCATGTTATATTACAATTTATTGAGCAAATGCTTTGAATTGTCCTTCTCTTGAAAATACCGACACCGAACTGAGGTTCTTTCACCCCCAAAAGACCGGAACCGAGATGAAATTTCTGGAACCGCACAGCTCTAATCTATATAACCATCACTGAATTTGTCTTTAAGTTATGTACAGCACCTGACTATAAAAGTAATAAACACGGCTACAAATAGCTCATGATATATCAACTCACCTTGCTTGTAAGTCGGCATCAGCGTCAGCTGCGACAGGTTCCTTGGCCGTAGCTTTACTTGTTGAAGCCAGGCCGCCACTCGCTTGTGGTAGTCCAGTTAACTGGATACAGAAAGAATTAATAGAACATTTGTTGATCTCTTTCAATAACATTTTGATAATTATTTCATATTAAATACATACATAATATAAACAAACCTCATCATTTAGTTGAAGGCCAAGCTCATCTAAGACTTGGGAGACAATTGCATCACTACAACAACAAAATATATTTTGGTACTCTTGTCAATACGAACTCACAACTCATTAGGAAATAACAATGTACCTCTCTTCTTCATCATCTTCGTCTCCGAGAGCGTCGTCAAGAGCATCATTCATCATTTCCTCTTTCATGTCCATAATTTCAGACTACGATAATAACATTAATTGACAAGAGTTCTTTTTGACAGGGAAAATATACTTAGTTGCAAAGTTCGCAAGTTGGTTGCAAAGTTCACAAGTTCGTTCGTTCACAAACCAGTTCATTTAACTTGGTAAACTATGCATTTGATTGGCTTCTTTTACTTCAACAACCAATCAGGGACTTTGTTTACAAATTGGCTTGTGAATTCCAATATGAACTTGCGAACTTCACAACAAAGTTTGGAACATTTGTGGTCAAAGTTTCATGAAATCAACTGTAATTGGTTAGGTGTCAAATGTCAATGTTGCAAACCTGTTTTTCAAAGTCCATCATGATCTTTTGTATTTGCGGCAATTTTAACTGTTTATTCATTGTACCCATCGCCTGTAGAAACAATGCAAATATAAGTTTGTTAAACATTCTTTGGCTGACAATATTAATTTAAAACTGACAATATTAATGGATCGTTCCAGAAAAGATCCACACTCAATCCCCCCACAGAGCAACTTTCTGTCATCCCAAGGGGGAGGGGAGAAAAATTTGTATAAGGCATCCAAAAGGGAAAGTGGAGTTTATCTTCCAATTTCCTCTGTGGGGGAGGTATGGATATTTTCTGGAATGACCCATCTAGAGAAAAAACATTCTCAAACCTTTGCCACTCCTTTCATTGCCTGCGCCATTTGGTTAGATGAACGTAGAGTCTTAGAGATAAAACATTTGTAAAAATATCAGAATGTGAGTTACCAAACCATAATCCAATGTACCAGTACAATAGTACAGCTAGTAACATGTCCAATTGGTTATAATGTTGTACCTGTATTCTAAGCGAAACCGCTTGTATATTTGTTCTCATCAACATGAACTTTTTAACATATTTTCTTGTTCTGACCAAATCTTTTGCCATAATTTTCACTGCATCCTGGACATTGAAAACAATACTTTATTGTAACCACCATATTTTATACTCTATTAAAGTTTTATGTCTACCATACCCAAGTAATGCATGTATTTGATGGCATTAGGGGGGGTTGAATAGGGGTATACAAATCCGCTGACCCACCCAAATTTGAAGCAAAATCTGCGATCCGACAATGGTCTTGTCAATTTGAATCCGCTAAAAGCTCTACTATGAAGTCACAATCCAGGATACAAACTAAATTGCAAGCTAAATCCACAATCCAAGCCAAAATATTAGATAAATCCGCAATCCGCTGTATTAATAAGATCTGCAAATCCATGTAAATATTCACCAGATCCGAAATCTGAACAATTTTTTCTGTGAAATCCGACGATCCGAAAATCTATTCACCCCCCCCATATTACTTTCAATGGTGTATAATTCAGTATTTGATAGTATACATTTTTGATGGTATACCTATTCAGCATTTCTCAGGTATGGTAAACTGCAAAATTCCCACAAAAAACAAAATTTATTTTATCAATTCAATCACTATATATATTACCATTTGCCCTTGTTTTGCCATCTTTTTTATATCAGCAATAATTTTTTTCTCTTGACCTTCTAGTTTGCCTCTTTCTCTATCAAGATCCCTAAATATAAACACAAAACTTACACGGAAAGTTCGTACTCAAACTTACATTAGCATCACAAAAACACACAGCAACGTCCATGTTGAATATTTTTGTAAATAAATATAAATTTGGTCAGAATTTACCTCATAGCCCGGTTAAGAGCGCGTTGATTTTGTTTTAACATCTCTTCAGGCGTTTTCCTCTTGCCAAACAAAAAATCCATTTTTATGCGTAAAGTTGAAACTAAAACTGTAAACTTTTAAATTTGAAACTCTTTTCGAGTCAAATCTTTGTTTTTTGTTGCACAAGAACTGGTCACGTGACAATAACTTGATGATATGACGTCATTGACGAAGAGTTAAAAATAGAACAAGCTGTGAGATACGTCATATTATTCTGTGGGCTGAGGTCATGCCATGGTGACTGAGTTGAAATACATGTAAACAAATACGAAGCAGATTCATTTCAACGTTATGTAAACCTGTTTTATATACAGAAGTTGAGAAGTTCCTTCCCACTTCTGAGTCAGTTCTGACGAATGACCTTCGCTCAGGCTCACAGCTACACACGTAATAAAAATCTCACAACTTGTCGACAAGATATGTTCGCAACAGGCTTGTAGCAAGCTTGTCAACTGGTTGTAACAATGCTGTTATTTTATCAAGTTGCTACAAGGTTGTCACTCGCAAATTGTACGTTGACAAATTGTTGAATTGCAGGACGATAGCAAGTCGTTGGAACAACTTGTAACAAGTCTGTTGAGCTCAACAACCTTGTTTTGCAAGTTGTCAACAAGCTGGGAACAAGCAGTGCGAACACATCCTGTTGACAAGTTGTTGGAACAGCATTGCTACAAGTCTGTCTGCTGCAGGTTACCGACCACTCGACACTCTGACCATCAGGCATCATGTTGCCGAAATTTGTTTTTCGCTTCGTTCACAACACGCGTACAAAAATTCACAATTCAGTAGAAAATGGGCTATTGATCGGGTATGCCCACAGCTTAGACTGCCCATAGTCAATAGTAGATTGAGCCATTGAGGAAGGTTAGGAAACTCCGATGCAGACATGGTATACCTCATTGTTTTTGTGTTGGTTTATGCAAAAAATGGAGCAACCAATACAGGGCCCGCGGAGCGTATTAGAGAGTGGGGGGGCTAAATCATCAATAAAACCCCCAATTAATTAATTTAGAAAGTTTCATTTAGATTTCTATTTTAATAATTTTGGCTGTCAAAAAAAGTGGGGGGGGGGGCTAAAGCCCCCCCAGCCCCCCGTCTCCGCGGTCCCTGCAATAGCTATGTTTTCATCCAGCCGTTGTGTAATATCACGACTGGGTAATTAAACCAACAGTCCAACACATTGCTGTTGTTTGGTTGGGCGAAAAACCAATACATATGTGACGATGAACCGATTATTTCTTGCATAAACCAGACAAAAACATAGATAATTAAGGGCTTGTTCATATGGGCAAAAGTTATCCCGGTTAGCGAGAAAACTTTTCGACAAGTTTACAAGCGAGATCTCGCCTTGGTATGAAAATAATATGAAAAGTTACACTGCGTTCATATGAGACAAAAAGTTTTCCCGTGTACCGAGATCTCGCTTGTTAACAGGCGAGATCTCGGTGACCGGGATAATGTTTTTCCCATATCAGTGAACACAACTTTCCCGCTTAGCGGGATAACTTTCTGTCGTCTCAGCAACTTTTCAATTTAATCAGCGATGTTCAGTGCTACGTCACTGTCGTCACAGCCGAAAACTTTACCTGGTAAGCGGGATAAAGTTTCTCCATATGAACAGAACAAAAGTGTTTGGCTAGTCGAAAAGTTTTCTCGTTAACTGGGATA